ACAACACTTTAGGAAATTTTAAAACTGCCACTTTCTCAAACAAAGCCATGCAGAAGTCTTTTAATTTTAGAGCAATATACTCAATATTGGCTGACTGATGAAAGGATGGTCTTGTGCTTCATAAAATGGCCTGGAACTCAGGATATCTGGGTTCCACTTTGGGCTCTTGCAGGATTTGCTAATACCATAGGAGAACCTCTGTTCCTTCCACCTCTAGCTCTAAGTTTCTGGTGCCTTCCTTGTGGGTTATCTTGTCTCTGGGCCACCTGGCAGGAGTATCCTCCCACCTGCCAATGCATTCACCACCTTCCCCTTTTTTATAAGAGTCTCCCTCTTCTCTTTTAATTAAAGAAGGTGTTTGAGGACCTTGCTACCTAGGCCATTTGTGGCCAGCCAAATAAAAAGAAACATAGAAACAAATACAAAAATAATTAAAAAAAAAGCCAACAAATGCTTGAAACCTGCATATAATAAACAATAGCCACAAGAACAACAGAAGTTCCCTTGGCTGGGATGCTTTGGGAAGTCTGCATGTGGCAGGTTGTACAAAGAAGGTGGGTACTGGGCACTTGTCAGTTCCTCATCTGTGTTCTTTATCTAAGCCTTATCAAAACAACCAGATCAGCCAAGTCTTCCAAAATAAATAAGACACAGGTAAACAAATCAACCTGCCCTGCCCTTTCCAGGAGTGACTAGGGGCACTGATTCCTAGTTCTGAGAGACAGAGCTTGGCTGGAAGGATAAGGGACCAACCTGATTCCTCGGAAGTTCCAGCTCCTCCTATTCACGGAAGACCAGCCTCAGGGGCATAAAACCAAAGTCAGGACCATGATGTCCTGACTGCTTCCCTGAGACCACTTCACCTCATCAGGAAGAGCATTGTCTGTCCCAAGAAATCCTGGTACAGGCCCATGTGGGTTCCCTTTACAATCCTTAAAGGGCTGGTATGCTCTGTTACAAAGTGAGAGGAGAATCAGGCCAGCTGGATCCAGAAAGGCTTAGAACATAAGAACGGCCATACTGCGTCAGACCAATGGTCCATCTAGCCCAGTGTCCTGTCTTGCGACAGTGGCCAATGCCAGGTGCCCCAGAGGGAATGAACTGAACAGGGCAATTATTGAGTGATCCATCCTTTGTCATCCACTCCCAGCTTCTGGCAGTCAGAGGCTTAGGGACACCCAGAGCATGGGGTCGTATCCCTGACCATCTTGGCTAATAGCCATTGATGGACCTATCCTGCATAGAGGTGTCTAATTCTGTTTTAACCAAGTTATAGTTTTGGCCTTCACAACATCCCCCGGCAACCAGTTCCAAGGTTGACTATGTTGTGTGAAGAAATATGTCCTTTTGTCCTGCTGCCCATTAATTTCATTGGGTGACTCCTAGTTCTTGTGTTACGAGAAGGAGTAAATAACACTTCCTTATTCACTTTCTCCACACCTGTCATGATTTTACAGACTTCTATCATAAACCTGCTTAGTCATCTCTTTTTCAAGCTAGACAATCCCAGTCTTTTTAATCTCTCATATAGAAGCCATTCCATGCCCCTAATCTTCGTGCTGCACTTCTCTGTACCTCTTCCATTTCTAATATATCTTTCTGAGATGGAGCAACCAGAACTGCATGCAGGATTCAAGGTATGGGAGGACCACAGTGGCATTATGATATTTACTGACTTATTTTCTATCCCTTTCCTAATGATTCCCAACATTATGTTATTTTTTTGACTCCCGCTGCACCCTAAGTGGATGTTTTCAGAGAACTATCCGCAATGGCTCCAAGATCTCTTTATGGACTGGTAACAGCTAATTTTGACCCCATCATTTTCCATGTATGGGATTATGTTTTCCAATGTTCATTACTTTGCATTTATCAACACGGAATGCCAGTGAATTGTTCCATTAGCTGAAATCCTCCTACATGGCTTTCAGCATGCGTGTATCGTAACTGCCAAGGTAAGCAAACTCCCCATTATTAACATTCCAACCTTTGAAAAAGACTCTTATCTTTAGGAACATTCTTTGATTTGCTTCCCAGGCCTACCCTGGAGGCCTTTTTATTTTAACCACCAATTTGCGTAACACTTAACATGTCCTACAGCATTTCCTTTTGGTAGAAGAGTCAATTCACAAGTGTCAGCTGGAAGGTCTTAACATAAAAAATGAAAGGTAGCCGGTAATTTCTCAGATATAAATTATACGTTTAAGATCACAGACACACTTACACAGAATAAAAGGAAAGACCTCGTCTTTCTTTGTTTTATTAGCAGGTAGTAATTGTAGCTCAAGAAAGAGATAATCAACCCGCTCCACCTCTCATGTCAAGCCTGTTGAAGAATTTACTGATCAGGAGGCTGTCTGGGATATAGGATTGTTAATATTATAGTGGCACTCAAAGGTTCCAGTCAGGATTAGGGCCCTATTGTGTTAGGTGCAAAACATATACATAGCCATGGTCATTGCCCCAAAGAGTTTATAATTTTGATACATCACCAAGAACTATGGAAGCCAATGGAGTCTCTTCTTCACATCAGAAAAGGACACAATCTCTCCTGAAGCAAATTGTTAAGGGGAAGGCCTTCCCACTGTGGCTTTTCTTTGATTCTAGAATGTAAGCGTCTCCTGCTGTTCCCTGTGCATCTATGGATCTAGGTGTTTGAGGACACAGAAATCTCTATTTGAAGTTCAACTAAAGATGGAAAAAAATAGGTTCCAAAAGAGGGCTGCGTTAGGAATTCCCCCAACATTGGAGGCTGATGTTCTTTCAAGTCTGACCCATTGATCCAAACCGATTACTAGTAATAGTACTTAGCTTTTAGGCAGCACTTTTCAGCAGCAGATCTCAAAGTGCTCTGAAAGGAGATCAATACCGCTATCTCCACTTTACAGAGGGCGAAGGGAAATGCCCAAGGCCACCGAGCAGGCTAGTGGCAGAACTGAGACTACACCCCCCCATGTCTCCTTAGTCCCTGTCCAGTTCTCTACTCACTAAGCTACAGCAGCTGAGAGCAGCTGTCTTGAAGCCAGAGACATTGCTGGGGACCGAACCCATATATCCTGAGTCCCAGCCCAGTGCCTTAACCATAAGATTTCTGGATCAGACAGAGCGGGGGCTATAGCCTGGGTCTCCCACTTCCCATGCCAGTGCCCTAACCACCAGGCTATCGAGCGTGACAGTCATTTTGCCAAAACCATTCTGACCTATTCTGGGCCCAACGCAAAAGAGCCAGACACTCATGGCAGCACAAATATATTAGTTAATTGTATAGGAAACATGCTCCCATTGTATGCATGCTTTAGCACACCTACAACTCAGCCCAGTAAAAGGCCATTCATGACTGAAGAAATACTGTCGCACTTTATAATTTTACAAAGGTTTCTCTTTAAGAATCATCCACAGTAGCTGATCCATATTCCCTCAGCACAAACATGCTTTCTTAGGTACAATGTAATCAAACCTTCTAGTTCAGAAACAATTAGTGGCACAATTAGTGGTACTAGTCCCTAGTAAGAAAGGCTAAGGCATGAACCACTGATACTCATAAAACAATTTAATATCAAATAGATTATGACAGGACCAGCACAATCGCTTGATTCAGTCCACCATGTATAAGGTTGTAAAGAAGACACAACAACAGCTTTTTATAGTTGAGCGGTTATGTGAAGCTGTGCGCCAAGTGGCAACACCATTCACTCGCGGGGTCACCACACCAACTCAAATTTGGCCCGGCCCCTCCTCCATCATGCTTGCCTTCAAAAAACCCAGCAGGACCCACAGCGTCTCTTCTGTATTTCCGCCCTGCTTTGGAAGGCATGTTGCACCAAAACCAGCCCTTTCACCAACTATGACTGCAATTTTTCAACCAGAAATCTTACAGCCGTAATCATGTAGGACAATGGAGTGTAAGTTTGAGTTCAGGGCAGTTGCAGCTTGACTTGGTAAGGTCTGGGGGCATCACAGGTCTGATACATTCATTCAGAAGGGAAGTTACAATCTGCCTCACCCTGTACGTCACCTCCCCACCAGCTGTGGGTTAAAACTTGGACCGAGAAAGTGTTAGCGGCTGAGAAAGAACCCATTCCACAAGGATATTTTGGAATCAGGCATTTTCCCCTCTACAATGTGAAGAAATACTGTAGATCAAAATGTCTTCAACTCGTATGGTGATTAAGCTACAGTACATCTGTAGGGCTTAGCACATACAAGTAGTCCAGAATCCAGAGAGGACCATAATAACCAGCAATAATATACTGTAATTTAGAATACATACCTCCAAGGTTTAGGTCAGGCATACTGAGATCAGTACAGAAGTACAAAAACATCCGTCTGTTTGGCCACATGTTATGGGTCGGAGTAAGAGGAAGCACTGCCTGTTAATCACAGTTTAGCAATGTACATAGCTGATGTTGCTTTAAAAAATTCCCAAATGACAGACTAATTCTGACTGCTAACGTTTGTATATTAATGTAATAGTTCTTCTGCAGATGGACTGGTACTGTCCACCCTTCACTACATCTGTTCTGTTCTAAAATGTCAAAATCACAAGGGATATATATTTAAATATGTTTAAGTAAAGTTTTCAAGATCTCAAAGATTGCAAGATGTCTGTGTATGAAAGATATAACTATCTCTATATTTATCTATCTTTATCGGGAGGCATAGCAAAAGATACATAGATATATGGCTAGATATAAAAAGTTTAATTTGGTTGCAAGTTTCGTTCAGGTAATCTTTCTAGTATCTCTTGAGCTGAACCTGCTCTGAACCCCCTGAGGAATACCTCTTTAATCTCTGCGTTGTCACACTGGAAATATGCAAATTAGGTCCAAGGATTTGTAAGTGGTTCAGGACTTTGCAGAACTGCAGCAAATCTCCACAGAGGGGAAATTATAAATTCTGAGTTTCACACAAGATGAGACGAAAACAAAGGGCAGGGCAATTCTCACAGAGGGCATAACAGTAAACAGGCACCTGTTGTAAGAAGCAAATTATAACCTCACCTGTCTAATCCCTAAACGGTATGCAAGGATGCGGTCCACAGCATCTGGGTTCATTTGAGTCCACTGCAGACTGTAGGAGTAAACCCGAGGTCTGTTCTGCCAGAGGGGACTGTAGGTGTCGTAGTAGAACTCTGGGGCATAGGCTTTGCCTGCAAAACACAGACGTACAAAAACACGGAATGATAAAACAGTTCTCAAAAGAACGATTCGATTTTTTCAACTGCAATCTTTATTCATCTGCTACAGTACCATTTTGTGAAGGGCCCTTTTGCTACATGCACATCTCCCGGCTACCTTTAAATTTCTCACCCCTTGAGGAAAAAATGCACTAAGATTGTTCATTTCTCCTTTGTTATTAAGTAATTCTCAAGTGTCATTTTTGGTCCAGGAGAAAATTGGTCTGCTCAATAAAGAAATCTTCTACAAAGAGGTCTTGCAGGGCTAAAGTGACAGACATTGGATATTCAGACAATTATGCCTCCAGATCAGGGGTGGGCAAACTTTTTGGCCTGAGGGCCACATTGGGGAATGGAAATTGTATGGCGGGCCATGAATGTTCACAAAATTGGGATTGGGGTGCGGGCTCTGGGGTGGGCTGGGGCTCTGGGGTGGGGCTGGGGATGAGAGGTTTGGGGTGCAGGAGGGTGCTCTGTGCTGGGATCGAGGGGTTTGGAGAGCGGGAGGGGGATCAGGGCTGGGACAGGGGGCTGGGGCATGGGGAGGGGCTCAGGGGTGCAGGCTCTGAGCGGCGCTTACCTCAAGTGGCTCCCGGAAGCAATGGCATGTCCCTTCTCTGGCTCCTATGGGTGGAATGGGCCCCAACCCTCAGAGTGGGGCCATGCTGTGGCTTCCAGGAGCCATGTGGTAGGCCCCCCCGACCTGGTGCCCCGGCTGGAGTGCTGCAGGGCCAGACCGGGGCCAAGCCGCATGGTGCAGCCCCCCCAACCCAGCACCCCGGCTGGAGCGCCGGAGCAGAGCTGAGCCGCGTGGTGAGGCACCCCCAGTGGGAGCTCACGGGCCGGCTTAAAATGGTTCGCGGGTTGGGTCCGGCCCACAGGCTGTAGTTTTCCCACCCCTGCTCCAAATTCTCCATCAGAGCAAATACATTAAGCATAGCTGCCACACACAACAGAATCAATTCCAAATGACATCATGTACCGCAACCTGAAAACACAATACCTCCGTTCCATACTTCAGTCCTAGTCCTACAAAGAAATACTTATATCCACAGTATATTATTTAGATACAGATGCAGATATTGCACAATAAACACAGAGTTGGAAGTGGCATTTTCAAATACACTGTGATATACTAACAGTTTACCATAGTGTATGATTTTTTGTTCCTTAAATTAGGAAAAGCTAATATGATTTGCTGTACATATGATGAAATGATATCTGAGCTCTTATTAAAATGCAATCGCCTTAGGGTATTTCTTGACTCAAACACAGACATGCCATTAACATCTTTACATGCAATGTATTTTCTCAGTGAAGGAGGAGACACTTTGCTTACAATTAGAACTGGCTGGAAAAACTTGGAGAGAACCATAATTCTGTTGGAATATACATTACTGTTGAAACTGAAATGCTTTGAAAAATCAGATCAATTTTGCTGGGATGTCATTTCAGACAGCCCTCTGCCTCCCAAAAGTCTGACAAAGTCTAAATCAGACATTTCAGCATTTTCATAATGAACAATTTCAATTTTTCTTTTTGAAACGGGTGTAGATTCTCCATCACTGGCAATTTTTAAAATCAAGATTGGATTTTTTAAAAAGATATGCTCTAGTTCAAACAAGAATTATTTCAGGGAAGTTCTGTGGCTTGCATTATACAGAAGGCCAGGCTACATGACCACAGTGGTCTCTGTGGGGCTTGGAATCTGCAAATTGATTTTTTTGTTTTGATTTTTTGGATTTTGTATTATATTATGTATTATAAAATAATAAAACATTTTAAAAAGTCAAAATCAAAACAAAAGAGTTTGATTTTTATAGAAACACCTTTTTTGATTGACAAAAATTGATTGATTTTTTTTTTAAACTTTCCTTTATGGAAAATTTGAAAATTTAAAATGTTCATTGCAATTTGGAATGAAGTCAAATGTTGAAATCTCGAAATACTTCATGAAATGGAACCTCCATCCTCTGCACAGCTCTGCCTACAATTTTAGCATTAGTACAGTTATCAGACAAACAAAAATTGGTTGCGTTGGAATGAGAGTTGTAACTTTTAAAACAACATTGCATTTTTATCAAAAGAAACATTACAAAGCCAAAAAATTTTAAGTTCAGGTAAAATTTGAAAAGTAAAACCCCTCAAGTTTCACAAAGTTTTTGTCTGGGAATTTCCTCAAGTATTTAAAAAACATTACAAAATGTTCTGAGACAGATTACTAAAACATATAGTCTATGAAAGATTGAATGTGTTTGCATGTCGTGAAATATTATTGTCATGTAAACAACTGCAAAACTCCACTGGAGCCTGCGCTCAGAGAATGTAAAGGACCTTTATGGGATTAGGTAAACCAAAACAGTCCCTGAGAATAATTGGTTTTGGTGACCTGGGGCTCTTAGAAACCCTGTTCTAGGCCAGAACTTTCCAGGCCTTGTTTCCTGCTTCTGTCATCCTGATCTCCCTTCTTCTGTGTCCAAACCCACCAACATGTCAATGTTTGCAGACTGCAGCTGTGCACATTGTAACAGTCACATCAGCTCTCCCAGAGATTATAATGTGTGTATTCAAAATACTCTTTAATATCACCTTTGTCTAATTACCCACAAACATTATGAAGTCAATGCGTGTTTTACCATTGATTTTAATGGGACGAAGACTTCACTCAACATGTGCAAAATTTCAGACAGATTGGCTTGGTTTGACCCACCTGGGGAAGGGGAGGATCAAGAGTAAGTTCACAACCGAAAGTGAGTCGCAACTTAAATTATACAGAGAGAATTTCTAGCACTAATCATGTGTGGCACAGCTAGCAACCTGTCCAAGCTAGTCTGCGGCTCAAGTTAGCCAAAGGATATAGCCAGGGTGGGTAGGTTTCAGACATCTTGGTCGCTGAACCCAGCATAACCAAATGGAGTTTGAGGGTCAGGCATTTCCAATGTGTGTCACTGTTATAAACAACGGATTAAGAAGTATTAAGGACTGAAGGAACTACAATACTGTGAAGGTATAATGCACTGGCCAAGCATGTAAGGTCGTGTCTCCCTCTAGTAGCTGTCCCCTGCAATGATGGTATACAGCCTATGACTGTAGCACAGCTGAAGGAGCTCTCCTTTCACTCTAGTGTTAGGGCCTTGTGCTTTAGACACAGAGGGTCTTCGGCTTCATTACCACTCATAACCATAGTGCCCATATCTACAAATGGCCATCATTGCTATGGAGAGCCAGTAAGGTGGGGAAAAGTGAAAAAGGGAACTGAAATGGGAGATGAAAAAATATAACAAGAAAAGACAAAAACCTTTGGTCCAAACCACACTATGCAAAACACGTAACCCTGACATTTATTTCAGCAATAACGATGAAGGCCCAGGGCATTTCCTGAGGATTAATGACCCCCTGAGGTGAAGGTGAGAGTCGGGAACCACAGTCAGTCACTGATGCCTGGGGAAAGTTCCTAGGCTGAGGACATTGTTGCTATCACAAGTAGCTGCTGGAGGAAAAGTTTAGAACTAACTGTATGAAAAAGTCCCATATCTTTGTAATGTTCCATTCTGTGGTGCCACATTATGCCAGGGATAGACAAATATGTTTATGTTGCATATTGACCCTTTATTACTTGGGCTCATACTTATCTTTCAGAGGAAAAAGTCACATGGGAGTTTAAGCACCTTTCTTGTGTCTACCTTTATCGAGTACAGTTTTGCTGAATGCAAATAATAATCTTCCCCCCTTTTACTGCAGATGACCACAATGGCATCTCTAGGGGCCTACGAAATGGATACATTATCAGGCTCTCGTCACAACATGGGGACCTGTGGAACATAGTCACCTTTTCTAATATAACAAGGACTCGTGTACACTTCCAATTCCATCCTAACGCACAAGCCTTACTTTATTAATGACAATTTAACACCACAACATTAAGCACCTGATTTGTGAAATTGGGTGGCACCAGAAAGCTGGATATTGTTTTGGAATTCACCAAATGTCTCTTTCGAAGATGGTTCACTTGGGCCTTGGAGAACTAAGCCCTCCCTGAAATCATTTGCTTTGAGCTAGGACAGAGGCATAATAAATGCAAATCTGCAACAGTGCAATTGTGCTGCTTCCGGCAGATGGTGCTATTCAGCAAAGACTGTCCTTGGAACTATACAGAGAGTGGAGAGAAATGAGCCAATAGCTGTAGCAATGACATTTGGCCGAATAAGGATGAAATGCCAGGTTGCAGCAGTGTAAAGGAAGGCAAACGATCGATTCTATTAAGAACTAGCTCCCTGACCTGTTCTGAGGTGTTACACGTAGTCACAGCCAGCCGTTCCCTTGTGTTAAGAGGGGACTGCTCAGGCCATGCCCACATGGGCCACTGAGCCAGGAAGGGTCTGTAACCACTGATAAGTGAGGCCTGGTTGGAGACCAGTCCTGACTCTCCCCATTTCCCTTCTGGCAATGATCTCCTCTTTCCTCTGCTGGGTCTCCTGTTGGGATGATCTCAGAATGATCACAGAAGGTCGTGCACCTCCCCAGCTTTACCTGGATACACTCTTAGGTGCGCTGAAGTCTGGGGTGCACAGCCCTAGGGCATGTGGCATTTGCACTGCCAGTCGCCAGGCCACGTTACGGATATCGATGCATAACTGTACACTACACAGCTAACCCAGTTCTCATTCGACGCAGTGGGCAGGGCCGGCTCCAGGCACCAGCTTACCAAGCCGGTGCTTGGGGCGGCCACTTTGGAGAGGGGCGGCAAGTCCAGCTGTTCGGCGGCAATTCGGCGGACGGTCCCTCACTCCTGCTTGGAGCTAAGGACCTCCCGCCAAATTGCCGCCGCAGATCACGATCGCGGCTTTTTTTTTTTTTTTTTGGTTCGTGCTTGGGGTCGG